GCCTCACCTTGGCCACGTAGTCCTTCACCTCGTCCAGGTCGCCGTTCTTGAGGGCCCACATGAACTCCTTGTCCGACATCGCGGCCGCCGCCCTGACAGCGGGCGCAGCCGAGCGGGGAGAGAGAGAGCGAGAGAGAGAGAGCGCGAGAGAGAGAGAGAGAACCTTAACTGTCTAACCTAACTGCTGTGAGAGGAGACAACAAGAAGCTGTGCAGGAACAGGAAGTGTCCAGAAGAGGAAATCAGGAGACGGCAAGGACTAGGGTTGCCAAGTCGCGGCGGGGGGTCGTAGGTGTTCCCAGAATCCTTGGTGGGGGGAGGCCACTCCGAACCCTCCTTTCCTTTCCCTTCCCCAGGCTCTCCGAGCGACCAATCACGGCGCGCCCGTGATTGGCCAATCTCCCCCCCTCCAGCTGTCAGTTACCGCCCGGCGGCCCCGCCCCCTTCCTTCTCACGCAGCTGTGGTTTGTTTACCGTCACGTGAGGCGGCGAATCGGGGAGGGGGAAGAGGAGGAGGAGGAGGAGGAGGGCGGGGCGGGCGGCGCGTCACGTGACTGGAGGCAGCTGCCGGAAATCCCGCGCCTCGGCAGGAGAGGGAGGAGGGGGACCGAATAAGATGGCGGCGGAACGCGAGCCCCCGCCGCTCGGGGACGGCCGGCAGACCGAGGCGGAGGAGCTGGAGGACGGCGAGGACCTCTTCACCAGCACCGTCTCGACCCTGGAGGTAGGCGAAGGGCGGGGGGGGGGTTTGCTTTCCACTGTCCTTCGCTCCCTTTTCCTCTTCCTGACGTCTCTCTCTCTAGCCCTGGCCGGGGTTGCCAACTCCGCCTGGGGACTCTCCTGGGGCTTTGGGGAGGATAGTTTGAGGAGGGCAGCACACTGGCGTGCGGAGCTACAGGCGCAAGTTGAGGCTCCAGTTTCTCCCTGGGGAACTGGTCTCGGTCGGCTGGAAATCCTGTGGGTATGAACGGGTAGGACTCTAATCTGGGGGGGAACCGGGTTGGATTCCCCGCTCCTCCGCAGGCAGCTGCTGGTGTGTCCCTGGGTCAGTCACAAGCTCTCTCAGAACTGTCCTCTCCGGAGCGGTTCTCTCAGAGCTCTCTCAGCCCCACCTACCTCACAGGGTGTCTGTGGTGGGCTGACCTGAGGCTAGTGGTTTTTTGGGGGGGAGGGGGCCTCAGGGGGGAGCACAGCTAATTAAATCGAAGTGAATTACGTTAATTCAATTTGAGTCCGGTCTGGGAGGAAGGGGGGGTCCCAGAACGAATGCGGGGGGGGGGGGTCAGGCTACGTGGGCCCCACATTAGCTATGGTCCTGGTTGTGGGGAGGGGAAGGGAAAGGAGATTATGAGCAGCTCTGAGGGTTCCTTCGGGTAGTGAAGGGCGGGGTGTGAACCTGTGTTCCCTCTAAGCTGTGGAGTCTTGTGAGCAAAAATTCTACTTTGGGAGCAACTGGCATTAAAGATGCGAGTGAGCAATTTGGGTGTGCCATAAATTACTTTGTTCTGGAGCCTTCCTTCTTGAGCTAAGACAGAAATGCGTGAGCCGGAGGCTAAAAAACTGTGAGCCAGCTCACACTAACTCAGCTTAGAGGGAACACTGCCCAATCTCTTCTTCTCAGTTCTGGGAGACCTCCAGGTTCACTCAGGAAGTTGGTAACTGTAGCCCTCTGTCACTTCCCCAACTCCCCAGGTCTGTGTTCTCGTGTTTCCTTAGGTTCTGTCAGGGCTCTTTTTGTAGACAAAGCCCAGCAGGAACTCATTAGCATAATAGGCCACACCCAATGGCAAAACGTATTAGCATATTAGACCACACTGCTGACAGCACCACTCATTAGCACATTAGGCCACACCCCCGTGTTACCAGAAGTGTGGTCATCCAGCCACACCCACCTTTCCCTTCTTATTCTGTTTACCTTGTTTGTTGTCAAAACCCAGGGCCTTTTTTGTAGTAGGAACTCCTTTGCATGTTAGGCCACACACCCCTAATGTAGCCAGTCTTAATGAGTTTCTGCTGTTGGGTGTGGCCTGTTATGCTAATGAGTTCCTGCTGGGCGTGGCCAACTCAGGAGCCAGACGGAACTCCGTTCCTGTGCATCCCTGCCCAAAAATAGCCCTGCACAAGCTCAAAAAATGCATTAGGGACTTAGAAGCTTGTGGTCCCTTTCTCCACCCCACTTGCTTTGAGTCTGATGCCACAGGGGCTACCCAGTCCCTTCCTTCTTCCGAGATGTGGTGCTTTGAGACACAGAGCCCGCCTCTACCTCTTTGCAGTTGTCCCTTTGCCAGGAGGCTTTCTTAGTCCAGAGGTGGAGTAGGTAGGGTGGCCGTGTTAGTCTGCAGTAGAAGAGCCGGATTCAAGTCCAGTAGGACCATCGAGACCAACAAGATGTTCAGGTGGGTAGCCGTGTTGGTCTGAGGCAGTAGAACCAAGTTTGAGTTCTGTGGCACCTTTAAGACCAACAAAGTTTAATTCTGGGAATTAAACTTTGTTGGTCTTAAAGGTGCCACAGGACTCAAACCTGGTTCTAAGATTGTAAGGGTATAAGCTCTTGAGAGTCAAAGCCCCCTTTGCCTGGTACAAGTAAGAATGGAGATCCCCGAGGGAGGAGAGGATGATATTTTGCATTGCACCTCTGCATCCTGACTCCTTTGTTTGCAATGCACCTTCTGACTGGGATGTAAGAGCTCAGGTGTCTCTGTTCCTACTGGTATTTAATTAAGGGAGCTTTGGCACTTGACGGTTCACACCCCTTAAATCTGGTTGGCCTCTTAAGGGCCTACTGGACATGAATCTAGATTCATTCTGCAAGGCACCTCGTGTTCCTCTATTCAGGTCATGGGGAGTTCCTCTTTTTCTGAGAAGGCTTGATGTATGCTCTGGGGGAGGGGGAACAGCGCGGCATGGCCTTTTTAGGTTAGTAAAAAAACCTGCTTTCCCTTGTATGAACATAAGTTACCAGTTAAAATGGCTCCTTTCAATAATTTTGCTCCTTACCCTTTGTTTCTTATTGCTTGAAATGTATTCAGTGGGATCTCCTAATTGAGACCCCGTAGAGCATAGGGGTTAGAGTACTGTGCTAGGATCCGGAAGACCCAGGTTTGAATCCCCCTTGTGCCCTGCAGGTTTGCTGGTGAGCTTGGGCAGCCACATATTCTCAGCCCAACCCACCTTGCAGGGCTGTTGTGTGGGTACATAGAGGGGAGAAGAATGATGTAAGCTGCTTTGGGATGCCCCTGGGGAGAAAGGTGCGGTATGAATGAAACAAATAAGTAGATACATTCAGCCTGTGTTCCTAGCTATAATTGAAGGGTTTTGCTGTCTAAAATGCAGGATACCAAAGGGAAGATAAATCTTTTGGTAATTGGTTTGTGAATGTAAGATGCCCCTCCCCTTCTTGGCACATGTTGGAGTGGGATCTTCCTTTCCTGTAGTGTAGTGGTTTGGTGTCGTGGTTAAGTGCGCGGCCTCTAATCTGGGAGAACCGGGTTTGATTCCCCACTCCTCCACTTGCACCTGCTGATGTGACCTTGGGCAAGCCATAATTCTGGCACAGCTGTCCTTGAAAAAGAGCCATTTCTGTCAGATCTCTCTCAGCCCCACGTACCTCACAGGGTGTCTGTTGTGGGGAGGGGAAGGGAAAGGAGCTTGTAAGCTGCTCTGAGACTCCTTTGGGTAGTGAAGGGCGGGGTATAAATCCTATCTCCTCTTCTCTGTAAATACAGTAGTTGCCCCCAGTCACAGATATAGGAGTACATTTCCATGGCCTTGTATTGGTGTACTTATTTTAATTTTACTTTACCTGTAGTCGGCCTTTCTCTCCAAGTCTTGCACTCATTCCCTCCAAAACAGATTCCATGTTCCTTTACACAACAGGCTTTATTTACACAAAAGTCTTTTGGCGATCCTTTGGGGAGTTAATATTTGAAGCCTTTATATGAGTCGAGTCGAATTCAGGCCATTAATGGAAAGCCAAGTGTTTGTTTCGTTTTATTTATTTAGCACACTTTATCTTGATTTCTCTGGGTGGTGTACTTTTTTCCCCCATCGCCCATTTTACTCTTCCGACGACCCACTTAGCTTAAGTGGGTGAGGTTTAGAGAGAGCGACTGACTTAAGGTCACCCAGAAAGCTTCATGACAGAGTGGGGGATCTGAACTCGAGGCCTCCCGGACCCTAGAGAAATTTCACACACCCAAAATAACGCACTTTCAATGTACTTTGCAACTGGATTTGACTGTGTGAGATGGAGAAATCAGCTTGCAAATGGTTGCTGAAGTGGATTGAAACTGGCATTATTTAGTATGTGTGAAAGCACCGCTGGCCTGACACCACTGTACCACACTGTAGTGATTAGCAATTCTCTTAAATTGGGGGGCCTTGTGACTGTCCTCAGTTTATTTCCTGTATATCCTTGGTGAAAAGTATTGCAAATGGAGGCATCTGGCACAAAGTTCAGCATTCCTGTTTTTGCTGGAGAAAGCTTCCTGCCGCTGACCTGTAAAGTTAATGGGTCAGGGTGGTTCAGCCTATTCTAGTTTATCGTGCACTGACAATGATATGTGTGCTAAGGCATTTGTGGGGACAGATAAGGCTGGAACTTTTGAAAGGTGCAGAAGCCGCAGCTATGTGTGAGGCGTAAAGGCTTCAAGGGGCGTTTGACAAGTTTATTCTTTGCCTTTCCCAGTTGTCCAAGCAAGTACAAATAGTTGCTTCGGATCACAAATATACCCCTTAAGTTAAACCAGCAGCGAAACTTAAAAATGATGAGTGTAATATAGTGGTACTCCAGCAGAACATCCCATAAATGGGAATTTGGCTCTTGAAACTGGATGATGAGTGGCAGTATAATAGCCCTGAGCTGGATAGCCCAGGCTAGCACAATTTGGTCACATCTCAGAAGCAAAACAGAAGAAGGATTGGATTTATACCCCGCCCTTCACTACCCAAAGGAGTCTCAGAGCGGCTTACAAACGAGTGTATCTAATATAAAATATTGAAGAGAAGCAGGCATCTTTTAGCTGGTTAAAATCTACAGGTGTGTTTCAATTTTGATGGCATAAGCTTCTGCTAAAAACTTTGCGACACATATGGTGGAAGAAGAAGAGGAGGAGGAGATTGGATTTATACCCCACCCTTCA